GAAACGATAGTGAAATTTGAGGTCATACTTGGGAGCATGAAAAAAAATGGTAAGTTTTCTGTTGTGGCCTCTTATTCAAAGTTCATGGAAGAAAAGTGGAAGAAATTGTGTAAAGTTGAGAGTAGTTGAGACCAAAGAACTTACACTATAAGGAAAACACGTTGAGGTTTGTGATGCTTGTTTATAAATTCAATCCAAAAAAATTCAATCATTTTTAAATCAACTATTTTTTTAACTCAAATTTAACTCAACCCACTATCATCAATATAATTAAATAATATCAATCAATCAACCCACTATCATCAATATTATTAATATAATTAAATAATATCAATCAATCATTCTTACACACAACATCAACCTTAATTTACTATTCATCTACTCACATAATTTGAACTAACTATCTCAACACATCTTCTCTCTCCTACTTTTACATCAATTTAACTTTAATCATTTTTATTTTAAAAATTATTTTAATATACCCACTAACAATTAACCATACCAACTTTTTAAAATTTAACCAACCCTATTAGTGTAACAGAATTAGTTGATGATTAGCTGGCATTATTAGTTTAGCAATTAGTTAGGGTTAGGTTTATAAAATCAGTTGGCACAATTAATGAGATTCTTCATCATTGGTGACTCTACTGCTATGGTTCATGCTTTGATTGATTCTCTCAGTCAAACTTTTGCTCTCAAAACTTATGGTGAGGTTAATCACTTCCTTGGCTTTGAAGCATTGAAGACAACAAATGGTTTTCTTCTTAATCAAGCAAAGTATGCTCTTGATTTTCTTGCCAAAACTAACATGTTGTTCTCCAAACCAGTGTCTACTCCCATCTCTACTACTCATAAGCTTTTTCTTGGGGACAGTAAAGCCTTCACAGATCCTACACTTCACAGAAGTGTCATTGGTGCTCTACAATACTTAATCATGACTAGGCCAGACATTTCATTTGCTGTTAACAAGCTTAGTCAGTTTCTTCATGCTCCTACTCATTCTCATTGGTTGGCTTGCAAGCATTTGCTTAGGTATATCAAGGGCACCCTCTCTGTTGGTTTGCATTTTCAGCCTGTTTCCAGGTTTGTGCTTGAAGCATACAGTGATGCTGATTGGGCTAGCTGTGTGGATGATAGGAGGTCCACTGGTGGCCACTTTATATTTCTTGGACCTAATCTTCTTTGTTGGAGTTCTAAAAAGCAGCAAGTTGTGGCTAGAAGTAGTGCTGAGTCCGAGTACAGGTCTCTTGCAACTGCCACAACTGATCTTGTATGGATGCAGTCTTTATTCAGAGAGCTGGGGTTGTTTTTTGAGTCTCCATTTGTTCTGTGGTGTGACAATGCGAGTGCAGCTGCCTTGGCGTCTAATCCAGTGCACCATGCTCGTACTAAACACATAGAAATCGATGTTCACTATGTTCGAGAAAAGGTGCTGTCAAAAGAGATTGAAGTGCGACATGTACCCTCTGAATTTCAAATAGCTGATGTGCTGACAAAGCCGCTATCTCCTGGTCGCTTTCATCTTTTGTGTTCTCGTCTGCCACTTCGAGCTAAGAACAGTAGGGCCTCGTTTCATGGGGGTGTATTAGTGTAACAGAATTAGTTGATGATTAGCTGGCATTATTAGTTTAGCAATTAGTTAGGGTTAGGTTTATAATAACCCACCCCTCAGCTCACTTGTATATAAAGCGTGTAAAAATCAGTTGGCACAATTAATGAGATTCTTCATCATTCTCATTCTATATGTTTTTCATTATCTCTATCAAACCCAAACAAAAAACACAATCAAAACAAAAAAAGAAAAAAAAAATTATAAACAAGCATCACCAATCAAAGGAAAAATTAAATATTTGTCTTTGGAAATGTTTTTCAAACATTATGCCTGTTAATCAGTGTTCTAAAAGTCGCTAGGCGCCCGCTAGGCGCTCGACTAGCGCCTAGCACCTAGACGGCCTAGGCGGCGCCTAGTCGGGGCCTAGTCGGGGCCTAGAAATCAATATTAAATATCTTATTTTTTATTTATTTTAACTACCTACAAAATAAAATTATCTCAACTTATAAGGGTATGTTTGGTAAGCCAAATAAGCTAGTTTATAGCTTATTTGGTTAGCTTATAAGTCCACTGTTTAAAATAAGTTTCGTTTGGTAGGACGAGCTTTTTTAAAAAGCTCGAGCTTATTTCATAAGCTACTTTAGGTAGCTTTTCAAATAAGCTAGTTGAATTTTTTATTTCAACTAGCTTATCAGCTAATTTACCAAACAACTTTAAACATATAAGCTAGCTTAAAAATATAAGCTAGCTTTTCAGCTATAAGTCATAAGCTATAAGCTATAACACTACAAGAAATATCAATTTTACTTAGACATTTATCTAGATCTTTGTAGGTAAAGTGCTTGCTGGTAAATTTTTGTCTAGCTATTTTATAGGTAAACGGATTTAGCTAGAAATTTTTGGATTTAGCTAGAAATTTTTGTCTAGTTAAAATTGACATTTCTTGTAGTGTAAGCTTAAAAATTACATAAAAGCTATAAGCTAGCTTATCAGCTATCAGCTAGCTTATCAGTTAATTTACCAAACATAGCCTAAATCGACACATTTAAGTCCAAATAATAAAATTAACATATTTTAAAGAAAACATAAGAATAAAATAATGTAACTAATATTTAAATTTAAAAAAAAAAACTGAAAAATTGTCGCCGAGCCCGCCTAGGAGCGCGTAGGTCCGCCTATGCCCGCCTAGGCGCCGCCTAACTGCCTGGCCGTCGAGCCCGCCAAGGCCGCCTAGCCGCCTGACCGATTTTTTCTGCCGATTTGTGCAAATCGGAGGCGCTCGGGCACCGCCTAGCGCCTAGGCGCCGCCTAGGCCGATTTTTGGAACAATGCTGTTAATATGAATCTGCTGAAGAAGGGGATTAATTTAGATTGTATTTGCAAATGGTGTTGAGAGAAACCAGAATCCTTAGAACACTTCTTCTTTCTTGCTCAAGAGCTAAGAACATCTGGAAACTTTCGCCAATCTATTGGGAGGGCTTAGAGAAAGAGACTGTGTGCTTTAAAAGCTGGTGGACTCATATGTGTTGTATCAACAAGAATGCCACCTCAGAATCAAGAATACAACTGTCTACCTATATCTTGTGGTTGATTTGGAAAACTCGAAACCTGTGGGTCTTCCAAAGCGCTTGGAGATCAAAAGTCTCACCGCTGGACATTGCTTTTAAAGTGTGGCAGCAGTTTGTTAGCTGTTAGTCTGTTCCCTTTGTTGTTTTCTCTTCTTTGTTTTTCTTTCTTTTGCTGTTTAGGTTTGTTTAGCTCGTTTGGCTAGCTTTTTGTGGGTTAGTTACTAGGCCTATGGTGCAATGGCGATTCTCCTTTTTGGCTGACCTTTGTATAGTCTTTTGGTATGGTCCTGGGTTGGATTACAAGCATGCTGGTTCCAGTGTTCTTGCCACTGCCAAAAGCTTGGCCTCCAACTCTTGTTGCTAGCTTTAGTTTCTTCTAGGACTCCTCTGTGAGTTCCTACTAGTCCTCATGTCGGAGTGTCTTTGGGCTAGTTAGCCCGGTATTAACTTTGTTTTTTTCTGAGTTATAAAATTTAAAATTTTGAAAAAATAAAACATAATTTTTTTTTTTTTTAAAAAGTCTATATATATATATATATATATATATATATATAATTGCTTGTTAATCATTAAACCTAATAAAATAACAGCTACAAATCATTATTTTACTAATACATTAATCTACGCTGATTAATGTATTTACTCTTTTAAATGAAATAATTTATTGTAATGTATTTACTCTTTAAAATCGCATAACCAATTATTATAATAAATTTAATATTTTTTTAGCTAATTATCTTGCTCTCTCAAAATCACAAAAATTACACTATTTATTATATTTTATGCAATCAATATAGTGGTTCATATACAATTCAATCGTTATGTCTATTTATTTTCACCAGTGCTTGAATTTAAAAATATACAATTCCGAGGATGAGCTATGCCCAGTCGATCATGTAGTAACCACATACTTGCCCCCGGCGGGAGACTCGCCAACCTCTGCAAACCACCCGGACATTTCGCCGCCAAGGAGGCTAAAAAATCAGCCACAAAATTTTAATATTATATGTTGATATAAAATGTAATATCATTATCTAACTTATAAGTTTAATATTATATGTAAACAAAGAACTTATAATACTTTATTTATATTTGTGCAAATGATCGAATACTAGTTATATCCAATATCACGTATCTTCGTTTATCTAAAGTAAATGAAATAATAGTAGATTGCATGAGTCATATAGTCCCAATAAATCAGCACACGATTTAAGGCAAAAAAAATACGTAAACTTTACTGCAGCAAAACTTCATCTTCTAATCCGTTTCGTTGCCTACAAAATCGGATCACACGATCCCTATTAAAATAAGGAGATACCACCTATAAAAGAACACCCAAAAAAGGAATTCATAATATTATCATACTAAGTAAAAAGATGAGCAGTGTTGGATTAACCCACAACGTGTCCATTGTAGGGTCGGGCGAGACCACCGTGGTCCTCAGCCATGGTTACGGCACCGACCAATCCGTGTGGAAGCTCCTCGTCCCGCACTTGATGGACGACTACAAAGTCCTCCTCTACGACAATATGGGCGCGGGGACCACCAATCCCGACCACTTCGATTTCGAGCGTTATTCCAGCTTGGAAGGCTATTCCTACGACCTCA